GGATCATCGGAGGACCCCCTTCGTTAGTCGGTGTCTGGGCGCAAGTGGTATCGGGATCCGCCATCACAGATTTTCACGGATTCCGCTTCGCCACAGAACAATGCGCCGCTGGCGGTTCTCTTCACCCTTTTCGGATGTTTAATTCCGTGGATACACAAAATCGTGACCGAATAAAAGGGAAATGACGACGGAAGCATTCTTGGGTCATCTTCAGGAATGTTTTTCTTAGCCAGGGTTTGATTGCGTGATTCAGAGATCTGACTAGGGATAACAAAGAAGAAGCCTGTTGCACGAATACATGTTTCACTTGATATAACAAGTTGGAGTTTTGTGATGCAGAAGTTCATGGTTGAGTAAGAAGTTCGTGTGAGTACGGAGATATTTTGTAAGACATCGTGTACAATATTGAACTTGTGGTATGAAACGCTGACGTTTTGTACCAAATATTTGTGTCTAAATTTAGAGAGGGGAACATCGTAAATACGTCGATGGAACTCGAAAAGACGTACAAGGCAATGTATCTTCGTCATTTCTTCTTCATATTGTTTTGGCGCTTATAGAAACTCCCTCGATATGGCCCAGATTCAGCTCAAATTTGATTGGTGACTTGGTCGCGATAAGAGTTGTTTTTGGTGGAGATTTTCCCCCAAACACAAAACGTTGAATGAGATCCGCAGGAAAATGTAGATTGTTGTCGCGCACCCTCTCGAAAGCGATCGGGGTCAGGGGCTACTAGAGATCCTTGGACGAACACTCGGAGCTGTACAGCGAGTGGGTATGAGGTGAGTAAACAAAATACAAGAAACCTTAAACGTAAGATCCAATGTATTTAGTAGACTTGTTGCTTTCGGAGAAAGCTTACGACTGAATCAGCTATGGAGTGGGCCCACTCCGTGGCCGCACTCACTTACAAAACTAACTTGAAACGCGCCTGACTCACTCGTAGTACTCCTGTCACCGTGGTCTAAGAGTTACTTTCCGGTTTATCACGAGCCCAACTATCAGCACAGGGGCCACCAACGGCGTCGCCTCGCCGCGAACCAGTCCGAACTCGACACTCTTGAATAGGTCCCTTCGCCTGAAAAGATGACGCGAGGTCGGAGCAGTTGGAGTCCACCGACGACCGCACACTAGACCAAGTGAGCCACATTGCATGTACTCATTTCCAAGTGACTGGAGTCCATCGGTGTTTCACTGGCGTCATGATCCGACAGTCCTGGTACGGAACCATCATGCCCGTGACACGATGTGATTCGAAATTTTGGGATACTTCAGCCGCTGCACACCAGATCACACAGGCGGAAAGGACGGGTATTGAGGCCGCTATTGCACAATATGTGCAGAAGCAGCAAGTCGATGCGGAGACGAAGATACAAGTTGAACGAGCAGTCTGGGAGGCTCAGACACGTCAGATAATGGAAGAACTCGAGCAGAGACTCAAAGAATTAGAGGCCGTCCGCAAGGAAGACCAAAGAACAGGAAAGAACGTCCAAGAATTTCACGTGGGACAGTTACGCGAGCTTTGTGCAGCATCTGCCAAGGTTCAAGTTGATGTGCCAACAGTCGCCCCCAAACTAGCAACTGCCGAGCCAACGGGGAATAGTTATCGCGTCAGTACGCGTATGGTTTTCCCGACCAGCATGGTATGATCGTCGTTCAAAACTCGCAACAGCGCCAGGATTTTCTTCTCGGTGATGTTGTAGTTCAACTCGTTCAGCTTCAGCGTTCGACTCGTGAACTTCACCGCCATGTACACGCCATCGTGTTCTTGTGCAAGTACGGCCGAGATGGCCCAGTCACTCGCGTACAACATCACGACGGGCTGCTTTCCGCATCGAAATGCTTCAGCATCGGGGTCGTCGCGATCTTCACTCGGAGTGCTTCGAACGCCCGTTTGGCGGGGACCCACTTTTCCTGGTTGCGGGCTTTCGGGTTCGTGACGTATTCGCCAAAATCGCGTTCCGAGAGCGAGTATAGCGTCGTTGCATAGATCGCGAACTCGGGGATGAACTTGTGGTAGTAGTTCAAGCTCCCTAAAAACGATTGCAGACCCTTCAACGTTCGTGGGAACTCTAGTGTCGCCAAGGACTCCAGTGTTTTGGCTTCGTCCCGAGTCCGAGCTCCAATACCTCGTGGCCCAGGTACGCCACCCGTGACATACCCCACCCGCTCTTCTCGACGCTAATCGACAGATGCCATTCTTCGCAGACCTCTAGCAGACGTTCAACCTTTTCACACAGGTCGTCCCACGTCGTATCCCCGATCAGTATGTCGTCGATGTCTGATCGTCGACCTAACACCGAGCTCGTTCCGGGCATCGCTGGATCGCCGTCGTTGAACACATCGCGAGTGTCGCCGGTGGGCGACAGCTTCCAGAACCCGTACAACGCGTTGTCTATGAGCGGTTGATAAACCTGTGGCGCGTTGCACAGTCCGAAGGGCATGCGTAGCCATTCAAACAGGCCGAACGGCGTGATGAAGGCTACATGAGCCTAGCACGGTCCCACCCAGAAACCACTGGCCATGTCAAACAAGCAGTACCACCTCTACTCGTTCAGGTCTTCAAGCAGGTCTGTGGCCAACGGCATGGGGTAGACCATCAGCTGCGTCAGGCTGTTGACAATTCTATAGTCGACGCAGAGCCGGATATCTACCCCGTTCTTCTTCACGATGATAACGATGGGGGATACCCATGGAGACTTTGAAGCACGGACCATACGGACGCTGAGCAGGCCTCTGATCAAATCAGCTAGCTTCTCCGGAAACTGACTCGATATTTTTCGCACGCGTTGAGCGATCGGTTTCGCATTTCCCACGTCGATGTCGCACACTACGCCCTTGGCCGCAGGCGGAAGGGCATTTCTCTTTCCGATCAGTCACTTCCGCTTTTTCCAAACAATCTGATGTAGTCTCTCCTTCACTTTCGAGGCCTCATTCAGGTCGACGTCTGCGGGGCGCCCGGTCTTCAGGTCTGCGATCTTGACGTCCGCGATCAGTGGAATTTCCGGCAGCACCGCCATCTCGGCTTCCAGATCCTCGGCGAACAGCTCTGAACCCTCATGTAGGATCTCCTCCGCGTCTGCGTTTTCGTATTCGGGGATTTCTTCGAGTTTCAGGTCTTGCGTTTCTATGTCGTCTGGGGTTTTCGTCGCTTGACTCTCCGCGGGTTCCGATTTTAACGCATCCGCGTCCCGAGTCTCCGTCATCTCCTTCTGGCCGCCCGTCGATCCGCGCTCAACGACGGCCGTCATCACGACGGGGCCGCGTCGTTCGCTTCCTGTCTTGGCCTCAGTCTCGGTCCGTAGCAGGATGGATTTCGGGTCCTGATACTCTCGTCGTACCGTCATCGGGGTCTCTGGGCCTTGGAATAGCTCTCCGTCGTTCACTTCGGCGGTTGCACCAAACGCCAAGTTCTGCTATTCGTCGTACTTCCCTGATCCGGGCTGAACGAAGCCGAACACGCGGGGTACAGTATCAACTGGTGTCCACCAAGCAATCGTGGTGTGAGCGTCCAGGATGACTGCCTTTTCGCCGACGTTCGTCACGCGTAGATACGTCCGTCGTCCGACCCGAGCCTTGATCATAGAGGTCACCCACGTCACCTCACGTGTTACCCATAGCTTCGGCGCCATCTTATCGGGACTCAGCGGTACGTCATACGAGTCTCCTATCACGATGCGCGTCAAGCTTGGAATGTTCACCGCGCGCATCTTCGATCCGTACAGTGGCCGTCTCCCAATCAGCTGAATCCGGACTTCATCCGGGAGACATGTGGTACCATCGGCTGCATCGATTCGCACTCCGGCTGGTACCATGAAGTCCATTCCCGGAATTGCGTGCTGACCAACCAGGTCCCCGGCCAAGGTGATCTTGATGCGGGTTCTACCTACTGTGAAGTACGTCTCGTCGCGAATGCACTCTTGAGTGACGCTCGTATCGATCTGGCAGCCTACCTCACGAGCAAAGGTGGTGTCCAAGATGGACACCTCGGCGCCTGTTTCGAGCAGCAACACTGCTTTTCGGCTGTTCAGCCTTCCGTGGATCTTGGCCTGTTTGTACCATTTATCCGGCGCGAAATGTTTCCAGTATCCGCGTCGTTCGCCCGGCTGTAGGTCAATCACGTTCGAAAACGGTTCGCGTGCGTATTCGTCCACATGCCGGATGGCCGCAACTCGGAGAACACGGTCTTGCGCGGTACGTACCGCTTCGGTATCGCATGTATTATCATTCAGTGTTGCCTTCTGCTTTCTAACTCCATCTCTTGATCTCCTGGCAACATATGCATAGACGGACATAGATCGCTCGTCTCGTACTGGTTTCCACACCAGCGAGCGATCTAATTTAACATCTTTCGGCCGTGGGTGGGAGCATATATCTGAGAGTCGAACCACTGACGCAGCTGGTTGAAGAACTCTTCCAGGGTACACTTCCCCGCCTCATGCACGTCACCACAGTCCTTGCAAGCTTGCAGGCATCGGTCGGTTGGATGTTTTCCGGCGCACTTCTGACACGTGAGCAGGCTCCAACAGTCTCCTTCTGCGTGTCGACGAGACCCGCAGTGCCGACACTTCGGGCGATCGAGTCCCGCGTTTCCCGAAGCAAACTCGTGTCGCGGGCTTTCAACGAGCGGCGCGTGGCCCTCCACGAACAACTTGGCCCGATCTTCTTCATCGCGGCCTTGCTAACAAAGCTGGTCATCGCTAGAATACTCCTCGCATCCCGAGTCGTATTCATCAGTGGTCATCTGGACGGCGTGCACAGCTCGAGAACGTGACGGGGTCGTCGCGGGCTGCTTTTGGCAATGCTTGTTCGACCCGAATAGCGTCTTCTTCTGATGGGCCAGTCCGCGTTGATCGGCACTCAACTTCTTTCCAGTGTGGCCGCGTCGGGGACCTTCATGAGGGTGAGGCGTGACGCGAGCTCCTGTTCTTGAGCTCTCAGCGTGTTGATGAACAGTTCCACGTGCTCTCGCTTCTCTTCCGGGCTTCTGTCGGCATAGTGAATCTTGACCCGCATCCCTGCGACGTTAATGCGATACAGGTACTCCAAGGCGTCTCGTCCGTATGCTTCGACGCATGATAGTATTGGCTGGCCATGGACACCCCCTTGCCGCAGTGCTGGATACGGAACTGATCCGTCAGCTCCGTCCAAGGCTTCCGTGTCGTCTTCGTGAGTTGTAAGTACCACTGGCGCGCGGGCCCGGCCATCAGGTCCCCGAATAGGGCACCCACCTCGTCTCCCGTCATTGCGTCTCGACGGGACGCGGATTTCAAACGGTTGAACCAAGCTCGGGCTTTCTCCTCGCTTGAGTGGCATCCGTTGAACTCCTTGAGCTCCGAAAACACCGAGAGACGCACGCATGCCAAGCTCGTACCGGTTGTCGCCGTTGAAATCACCGCTGCGTCCCCAGGAGGACTCGCGTCGAGGTCAAACAAATCGTCCGGATCCTCGTCTCGCTCGTGCTTCGATTGGTGCGACGAATGGGAGCTCACCGACTCCATCGCGATGTCGGCTGTCTCTTGCGGAGCCGTGTACGGCAGTTGACGGCGGATCCCGCGATTCTGGTTCGTGTGGTGAAGAGGATCGGAAGTTCCACGTGAATAAGATTGATTGATTGATTGACGGAAAGGCAACAAAAGGATTATCCGGAACAATGACTGCATATCCGGATCAGGATGATCCGGACCCTGCATGGGGATCGACGGCTAGTGGTAGGCCTAGATATATGGAGATATGTATCTGGGAGGAATGGACATGAAGGTGAAACCGAGGATCCGGCGTGGGAAGGCTCGGATCTGTGGTGGGGAAAGTTTGCGAGCATCCAGAAAGTTTGTGGATACGCGGAGCCGGATCCGCAGTGAAAAGTCAGGATCGCGCCGGATCCTGGACATACACGTATTGAGGGGCTTCTGGAGACTACGGATCACGAGGTTTGGGCGGCGGTCGAGAAGGTCAAGTGGGCATCTGGATCCGGCGGATCCAACTTTGGGTTATGACGTCAGATCATTACGTGCAGATCCTAAGAGATAGCAGCTGATCCCATAGAAGCAGTAATCAGACATGCGAATCCTGCGTTGTAGAGGTAAGGCAAGGCTATGATATAGGACTTAGGAATAACAGAGAATCGAATTTGCATCATTGGGGCACAAGTGGTTGGTTTCTTTATATTTGATCCACACTTAGTGTATTACGGATACCTTGGATAGGAATATTCCATTGGCCCTACAAGGTGATCCGCGTACTTAGAAGCTAGGATCTAGCGCTAGTTTGGATAACTGAAAAATATATTGGCCAGATCCGACTACCTATTGACTTATTCTATACGTGCAAGCTCCGGATCCACGACATTTACTGCTTGGTCGTCGATCCTTGGGTCTCTCCACAACAACTCAAGATCCAGTCATCGGAGACTACAAGCAAGTTAAGGGATCTCAAGATTACGAACAACAAAGGCCTCAAGGACAACACACCAAGGCAACCCAACACGGCCCGGATCAAGATCCGGCCACCGGTGATCTGCACTCGAACATTCGTGCAGACCCCGGATCCCCACAACCAACAGCAGAGCGAAGACTTCCGCGCTGCCGATCACATCCCTGCGTCTTGCCAAGACGCTTGATCTTCATTCACTTGGACAATCTTCTGCAGTTACCGGAGGAGCAAGATCCAGTCCTACCGACGGGTACACAAGGTGAGGAAGTTCAGCTGATCACGGATCATAGGAGTACCCCCTCCTTTAGTCGGTGTCCTGGGCACAGTGGCAAGCCAGATCCAGCATCGTCGCAGATTTTGCTGATCCCGCTCCACCACATTCGTGTCGGTGGGGTCCCTCTGCATCGTCCCGCGTGCACCCTGCATCCTGGTTGACTGCATCAGTCGGACGATCGCTTCTTCGAGAGCCTTCGGGACAGCCACTTCTGACGCTCGGGCTTCGGGCTCTGCCGACGTCGCGGTGGGTTGCATCACACGCGGCGTGCGACGCATCAGCATTCGTTTTGGGGACTCGACGCTACTGTCCGAGTCTTCGCTTGACGTGTACCTCGGTGTTGGCAGCGGGGTCCGCGCCCGCAGTTCGGTGCCCTAGATCGAGGGCGTCTTATGCTTGATTGTTTCGACTAGCACGGTGAGAGGAGGGAGGAAGGTGAGAATTGCGTCCTTCCATAATTCCAAATCTCAATCGTATAGACGCTCCATCTCGAATGCGCCCAACACGAAGCCTGACTCTCGAAGCATCGTGAACAGCGTCTAGATCGCCAGACGTTCGCTTACGAGATTCGCAAACTCGTGTTCATGAAATGGCCCGGTAAGTTCACCGATCCGCTTCGGCTTGAGGAAGGCGAGGATCGTTTTTTCGTTCCAGTTTCTTGAACAGTTCCGTTCGGCTCAGCGCATAATCCCACTCCTCCGCAGTGTATTCGTGTCCCACGTTCTTGCCCCGCGGTTTGGATGACACTTCATCATCCGACTCCGGTGCGCGCAGCTTCTTCTTCTTCGGCTTGCGCCTCGTGGGTTTAGCCCTTGCGGGCGTTGATGGTTGGTCTTCTGACACGAAGCGATTTGGAATTTCTCGCGGAAGCAGGAATTAGGTAATGGATACAGGATTTCCAGTGTGAATGTGTGGAAAGAAAAGTGACTGTGGGATGTGAGAGAAGTGATTGACTTGGAGTAGAGCTAAGGATGGGCCTTAGAGTCTGGAAGCATTGTGATGCTCGGTTCAGACTCGTCCTCGTCCTGACTACGGGTACTAATGATTGTGGAAAGTGTTGGTGCAAACGTATTGTACCAAACACCCCGTATTGCCTTAGTTCAACCCAGAAAACGTCATTCCCAAGCTTGAGAACATCACTACCAAGGACTATTTACGCACGAGATTCACGATCCAAGAAGAGATGGACAGCAAATGGAGTTGTGATGTGTTCTACAAGCAGTGTGGAACATTATACCCAAGAGTCCGACCAAATATCCCAGAATCCCGACTTATAACCCCTGAATCCAGACGCCAAAGTGTCTAGAACCAAGGATATCTACGTTTGTATGAAGGCATTACGCTATGGATTCAAAGATTCTACGACGAAACAAGACAAGATCCAGAGATTCAAGCATATTCCGATGAATTCCGTATCACGATATGTTATGGAGTCCCTTCTGGAGTCAGAGACCTGATTCTAAGTGTAACGCGATCAAGTGGTGACAAGTCAGTGCGAATTGAGGTGATGTGCCTCATATCTGATGATGTTACGTGAATGCATGATGGAATCAAGTGTGTTTGAAGTTCAACAGTGATGAGTGTACTTAGGTATACTGAAACCAAGATATTTTCCCCAGATCCAAAAAGATCAAGTGAAATATGGAACATAAGATACTAAGAGAAAGATTTAGCAGTATAAGAAAAGATAATCGGAGAGCTTTTTTTACCTTGTGCACAAGTGGCTTTGTAAGGCGTGCAGGACAGGTGCCAAGGGTGCTGCGTGAGGATCTCCAGCTGTGCTAAGTCCAAGTTGCGGTGGGGATCAGACACGACGGTGCTCTGAGTTGATCAACGGCAGTCCATATCCCAATTGGGCCTGCGGTAAGTGAACGGTAAGGGTAGGTACCCATTACATGTTAACATTTCATGTTAACGATTGATCTCTAAGGGTTCGTGGTCCCCCTAGAGTTTGTATTAGACTGCGGAATCGACGTTCGCCTGTATTAAGGTTGTATTTCCCTCATTTCCGAGGGTGGTGCGCGTGATTAAGGAAGTGACTCAGACTGACCAGTGTCTGACCCGTAGTTCCGAGTAGGACTGGTGACAGACCCCCCACTCAAGGGTCTATAAGAATAAGTAGTGGCTGCATTTTTTATATTCAAAGTTCTCTGTATTGTATATGGTTGTCTTATAAAGAGAAGTGTGTTCTGGGGTTTTGGCTTCAGTCATAGTGATGAACTCAGAAAGTGAGTCACACGCTAAGCACACAGACTTCCTACAAACCAACTACGGACGGTCGAGACCAAGAGTTCCCGAATATTGGGTTCAACCCACAGGGATTATACACAAGGGCCACACGCCAAACTCAGAGTTCCCAAAAGGTTCTCGGAGTTCTGACCCTCTGTGCATCCGAGTCTCCTAGAGTCTCGGGACCAGAGCGAGCACTGTACGCCAAGGGGTGAAAGTTTCACCGACTTCACCACACTTCGGCCTTCGCGGGCTTCAGACCGGGCGGACTCTGACTTTCGTCGAAGTCCGTGGTGGCTCCAGGCGGAGCCACATCGGGAACGGCAAACTGTTCTTCGTAGCCCTATCGTTCGTCGCTGGCCTATGGCCTGTCGTGAAGGTACCCTCCGAGCTCCACGACGCGACAGGTCTCTCTTCGAGCACACTTTCCACCGACGACCTTCCGATCGATGGTGCTCCCGCTTCCGGTTCTTGCTTGATTACAACTCCACCTTCTGGAGTAGCGCACTCGCAAAAGTTTGTGATTTCACCCTCGCACACTGCCTTATCTCGTGGCGGCGTGGGTAGTTCCCGGATCTTGAGCAGCGTATCTCTGGGTAGAGTCGTTGACCAAGCTTGGTGGCGAATCGTGTAGCGGTTGTTGGTCTTGGGCACGGCGTGGCTGGTCTTCACTCCGCGCCCTTCTGACTGACGACGTCGGACCTTGTTCGTCTTCCGTCGTTGGGTTTGTTCGTGGCGTACGGCGTTATCGGGTATGCGGTTCCACGGGGTTTGCACAGCGTTATCGGACTGACGCGGGTCTTCACACTTGGCGTCCGGTTATCGTGGGACGCCGCGGTGGTATCGTTTAACGTATCCCTCACTTCGGGCGCGGGGGTGAAGGTCGAGTACACCAAAAGCACTTCCGACGACTGGGGGCCGCGCTTATCTGGGCGGCTCTACTGACCATTCGATGGGAATTTTCCGTAGGACTAAAAGACACGTGGACTTCTGTAGGACTAGGAAAACTTGGGACACTTGTGTGTCACCAAGAATAGTTGGGACTGATTCCTACTCTGTCTATCTCACTATCGCTGACTACCTTCCCGCATACCTAGATTGACTACCATACCTTACTTCAACCCTAACCGTCGTACTACCCGTCCCGGTCCGGAACTGGCCTTATTTATCTTCGAGTTTGCTGAAGTTCGGGCTCGGGTTTGGCGGAGCTCGGGTTCGGGTTTCACGAAACCCGGGCTCGGGCTTCGGGTAGAGACTCGGAGTCACTTGAGTGGAGGACCGGTTGAGTGACCTCCGGGATCGGAATCAGATCCGGGTCGTCGTCCATCTTTGCCGCCCTTCAACTGGCAAACCGATTTCAGGCCGCTCTACCACAGTTGTTCCGTTTGCATGTTCTGTAGTGTTTCCGCTGTGGATTTAATCCAGCCATAGAGGGGAATTCATCCTCTTTAAAGGCTACGTCACGACTGTATACAATGGCATGGGTATTGACGTCTATCATCCGGTATCCTTTCTTGTGGTCAGGAATACCTAGATGTATGCACAGGCGTGCTCGAGCATCCAGTT